CTAGAGGCAGTGATATTTTTATGAAATAAAAACAGAAAAAAATAATAAAACAAATAATAATGTGGATCCGGTGCTGTGGCTCACACCTGTAATCCCAGCACTTCAGGAGGCTGAGGTGGGAAGATCCCTTGAGGCCAGGAGTTTGAGACCAGCCTAGGCAACAAGGCAAGACCCTGTCTCTACCAATAATAAAAATTAATAATAATAATAAATACAACAAAAAGTGAAAAATATAACTACCTTATGATCCAGCAATCTCACGTCTGAAGATTTACCCAAAATAATTGAAAGCAGGTCTTTTTTTTTTTTTTTTGAGATAGAGTCTCACCCTGTCTCCAAGGCTGGAGTGCAGTGGCGTGATCTCGGCTCACTGCAACCTCTGCCTCCCGAGTTCAAACGATTCTTGTGCCTCAGCCTCCGCCTCCCAAAGCTGAGTGTAAATATATTTAGCAAGAAGATGGGGGAAATATACCTCAAACCCTTTTTTATTCTTTCAGAGACAGGATATCACTCTGTCCCCCAGGCTGGAGTGCCCAACACCACACCCAGCTAATTTTTTGTATTTTTAGTAGAGATGGGGTTTGACCATGTTGGACAGGCTGGTCGTGAACCCCTGATCTCAGGTGATCCACTCGCCTCAGCCTCCCAAAGTGCTGGGATTATAGGCGTGAGCCACTGTACCCAGCCTAAAGCAGGATCTTGAAGAGATATTTGCACACCATGTTCATAGAGGCATATTCACAATAAACCAGGGGTGGAAGCAGCCCAAATGCTCATGGAAGGATGAATAGATAATAAAATGTGATAAATACATACAAAGGAATCTTACTCAGCCTCAAAAAGGAAGGAAATTCTGACATATGTGTAACATAGATGAACCTTCAGGACCTTATGCTAAGTGCAATAAGCCAGACACGAAAGACGAGTATTATATGATTCCATTTATAGGCGGTCCCTAAAGCAGTCAAACTCCAAAACAGAGAGTAGAATGGTGGTGGCCAGGGACCAGGGTAAGGGGACTGTGGAGACAGTATTTAAAGGGTGCTGAGTTTCATATTTGCGAGACGAAAAGAGCTCTGGAGATCCGTTTCACAGCAGTGTGAATATACTTAACAAGATTCCATTCATACTTAAAAATGGTTAGGGCTGTACATTTTATGTGCTTTTTACCACAATAAAGAATAAAGACTGCCATGGTGGCTTTTAACTTTTTAAACAAGGAAAAAAATTAAATTTAAAAAAGAATAAAGACAGGTGTGAGAAAAAGAGACAAAATGAGAATTACAGAAAGCTAAAACCTAAAAGTAAAGAAATACAGAAAACCACGTAATAGTAGAACCCAACAACCATCTCAAGGCAAGTGTTAACGGCGCATTGGAGAGGGTAAGTTATTAACTCAAGTTTAAATTTCCTCAGAAAACATGAAGCACATTTTATGTTTTACTTGAGTAGGTAAAAAAGTGATTGACTATGTATACTTATTGTATCTTGACTGTATACACAAATCAGAGTTAAGCGTACAGCTTGGCATAAATCATATCTGCTTTCAAACTTCTTAAAATCCTGTTGAGAAGACAGGACATTTACTTAAGAAGATAAATAACAGCGTAAGGTAGGCAGGCTCTACGTTAAGATACAGGCCAGGAGCCCTTACAGGATTTCAGTGCAGGAAGCCATTACTCATGGGTGGGGAAACTGAAGGAAAAGAAAGAGCTGACATCTGGGCAGGAAGCAAGGACCTAAATAGGAAGCGGAGAAGTTGACATCCCAAGAGGGAGGGTGACAAAAAGGAAGACCGGTGTTGGGAATGTTCAAGACATACACACTAGAGAGACAGGCGGGGCAGCCAGAGCTGAGCAATGCTGAGGCCCAGGCTGCGAGCGCAGGGGGAGTGCTAGGAAGAGAGCCTGGCTTTGGCAGCTAGACCCCAGGAAGCCCTGCAGGCAGCAAAATAGCAAATCAGTACTTCAGGAAGAGGAATCTGGCAGTGGTTTAGAGAAAACACTGGAGGCAGAGAGACTGGAGGAAGAGTTCGGTGAGGACAGAGTCACGGGGTCCCTGGGCTGGTGCTTTGCCGGCCGGAAACCTTTATGGCCCACGGTGCCTTCTGCCTGAGTATTGCTTGCAGCCTGCGGGCTTATTCTGCCCACTCAGCCCAGAAGCCTGGCTCGGCAGCTTTCGCTAGGAGCCTAGATCCCACACCCGCCAAGGGCGAGCCAGACGCAGAGCCAGGAAGGGTGCCTGGGCAAGTGACCAAGGGTCTGACCACTGTGCACAGCCAGGCATTCTGGCTGCTGCAGAGGGGTGGGCAGCTCCAGGCACTGACACAGGTGCCGGTTCAGGGAGAGGCTACAGCTGGGCTAGATACACCATATTCGGCTACCACTGCAGGCACCCGTGTCTGAATGAGGGGAACACGGTGGTGCCCGGCAGCTTGGAGATGCCAGGAACTGCAGAGCCCCAAAGAAGATGTTACAGTCCTGGCTTGGGGAGCCCCTAGGTCTGGGCTTTCTCTCCTTGTCACCAAGTTGTTAAAGTTCTTTCAGTCCCACCAATCAGTGGGTCCCAAGTTCTTGTCCAGTGTCCAGGAAGAATGAGGTACCCGGACATGTGGAGGGTGAACAAGGCAGCGAAGAGCTTCACTGAGCAACAGAACAGCTGTCAGGAGACCTAAAGTGGGTAGCTCCTTTCCACAGGCAAGTTGTGCCCAGGTCTCTGTAAATCTGGCTGAGTGACGGGGGTAGGGGGGGTGGGGGGGGCAGCAGAGAGGTGAATGGGCTTCAGAAGGGAGGAGGCGCATGCTGATTAGTGCATAGGCCAGCAGAAAAAGCACCAGAAGTTCTCACTTCCTGCCAGGGACCACACCTGGAACTGAGCCTGGCCCCCATGCTTCGAGCAGTCCCTGGCTTGAAGGTGGGGCTTCACCGGGGATCTGACCCCTTCTGCCCAGGAGCCTGTCTGCCTCCTGCTACCGTCAATTACGTCGTCCATAGATGCCCAGGCTGTTCCTCCTGAGGAGCGCCTGCAGGCCCGCCCCCAGTCGCCCTCCGCCCAGGCTTGGCCTCCTTCCTGTGCTGGTCAGCACCTAAAATCCAGAGGGGCCCAAGACGGCAGGGGCTGGCATGTCAGCACCACCCTGAGTGTGCACACACTCAGCAGGGTGGCCACAGCACCGGCGCTCAGCCTCAACTTTGCTCCAAAATCTGAGTGCCACCGGGAGTGGGAAGAGGCCAGACAGCAAGGGCAGGCTCTTCTGAGCAGTGGGGGCAGGGAGGGCTTCCCCAGCTGAGAGCGCGAGGATGCCTGGGTCCGCAGCTGGCAGCTGCTCCCGGGAGGGCGGGGCTTCCGCCTGCCGTCTCAAAAGGGGGCGGGGCTCCCGCCTGCCGGCCCAAAGTGGGGCGGGGCTCCCGCCTGCCGGCCCAAAGGGGGGCGGGACTCCCGCCAGCTCCGCAGCGCTCACCGCCCCTGCAGCTTCCACGCTATGGCTGGCATCTTCACAATGACCACTGCAGATGGCCACTGCTGCCATCAAAAGGACTGGTAATCTAAGGGAGTTTATGGTTACCTGGTACTAGGCAAAGGATTAAAATTATAAAGGAAAGCACAAGTGATGCTATTAGGTCACACTGAGATGCCAGACATTGATCTACATGATGTATATGTTTATATTCTGTATTTCTATGCTACATGCGTTATATATTTAAATTATCTAATTCTTCTAGCAACTCTATAAAAGAGATGCTATTAGTAGTCTCATTTTCCAGAAAAGGAAACTGAGACTAGAGAAGTTGAGTGTCTTGGCCCTGGTGACACAGCTAAGACCAGGTGGAAAGAGAATTCCGACCTAGGCTGACTGGTGCCAGATCCCTTGTTCTCACCACTACCCACAACAGAGGTCGAGAAGAATGAAGAGGCAGAATTTGGTGGCACCTCTCGTGTAGGTGCGGGGGTGAGGGAGAAGCCAAGTTCATAAGCCTACGGGATGGAGGGTGCTAAGCCTCAAAGAACGAAGGGAGCCAGGCGCCATGGCTCACACCTGTAATCCCAGCACTTTAGGAGGCTGAGGCAAGAGGATTGCTTGAGGCCAAGAGTTTGTGACCAGCCTCCACAACATAGCAACACACTGTCTCTACAAAAAAATTTAAAAATTAGCTGGGCGTGGTGGCATGTGCTTGTAAATCCCAGCTACTCAGAAGTGATCGAAGATCACTTGAGGCCAGGAGTTTGAGGCTGCAGTGAGTTGTGATCTCACCACTGCACTCCAGCTTGGGCGACAGGGTGGGACCCTGTCACTAAAACATTAAATAATAAATAAATAAATAGGCCGGGCGCGGTGGCTCAAGCCTGTAATCCCAGCACTTTGGGAGGCCGAGGTGGGTGGATCACGAGGTCAAGAGATCGAGACCATCCTGGTCAACATGGTGAAACCCCGCCTCTACTAAAACTATAAAAAATTAGCTGGGCATGGTGGTGCGTGCCTGTAATCCCAGCTACTCAGGAGGCTGAGGCAGGAGAATTGCCTGAACCCAGGAGGCGGAGGTTGCGGTGAGCCGAGATTGCGCCATTGCACTCCAGCCTGGGTAACAAGAGCAAAACTCCGTCTCAAAAAAAATAAAAAAAAAAATAAATAAATAAATAAATAAATAAATAAATAAATGGGTACTATGGGGACAAGAGTAACTTTATTGAAAATACTACTCCTTCATGTTACTTCTGACTGCCCCTGAGTCTGGGAACTCTGCCAAAGTGTCTAGGTGATGTATTACTGTTTATGCTAGAATACCTATTCTTTATAAACTTGCTGTTTATAACGAACCCTTGTTGTTGCAAACATCTTAGGCTGTGACACCATAGCTGCCTACACATTCCTTATATCTTGGGGTAAAAGCACATGTGCTCTGGAAGCAATGTGTAGGTGGCTATGGATGCACAATTTCAGGGGATTCATGAACTCCGGTTAAGACCTGCCCTAATTATACCATGTAAATAATTCAATAATGGCCAATTCTATAGTAGAAATTTTATTTCCATCCATAAAATATATCACTAAATAGCTGAAAAAGTTACATATTATTTTAAAACATAGATTTTAAAAAATGATATTAGCTTCTCTTTAGCAAAAATGCTTTTGTTTTATGTATTTATAAGAATATACTATACTTCAGGTACCCAATTCACTCAAGCCGGCCAGAGAAGACCTTGGATGCAAGTCGATGCTCCAGTAAAGTTCATTATCAGCTCCTCCTGCCTTGTGACAGGATGATTTGATTTTACAAAAGTCCCTTTGAAAACAAGAGTAAATGCAGACAGCTTCTAGAGAAAAGTCTGGTGAAGCAGCAGTTGATAATAGATTTTCTTTTAGTAATGAAATTAATCTTGTTTTGGTAATCTACAGCCTGTTAGGGATAGGTGGAGGGATGAAGTCCTTAAGACTAAATTGTTCCTCTATGAATCTTCCACCTGAGCCTGCGGAGAGAGTGGCCCCGAATCCATCCCTCTACTGAAAGGTCGCCTGTTTTGGTAGGTGTGAGGACGTTCCGAAACACAGCCATCCATGTTCTGATACATCTGAATGTGGGAAAGAGAGAGAACATGATAACCGTCTGGTGTAACATACATGTTAGGCAACCATATTGCAAACTATTTAAACAAACAATAAAGTGTTCTATATACAGAATTACTTTTTGTTTGTTTGATTGATTTTTTTGAGACAGGGTCTCACTCTGCTGCCCAGACTGGAGTGCAGTGGCACAATCATAGCTCACCATGGTCTTGATTTTCTGGGTTTGGGCAATCCTCCCACCTTAACCTCCTAAGAGCTGGGACCACAGTCATGCCACACCATATTCCACTAATTTTATGTTTTGTAAAGACGAGGTCTCACTATGTTGCCCAGGCTGGTCTCAAACTCCTGGGCTCAAGTGATCCCCTACCACCCCAGCTTCCCAAAGTACTACGATTACAGATGTGAGCCACTGCAACTGGCCTAGACCATCACTTTTAAAATGTTTTAATTGGTATATAATAGATGTACATATTTTCAGGAAACAAGTGTAGACAATTGTTTTTATTATGCATAGGTCTCAAAGGATATTCAATATAACTAACAAAGCAATTTTGGTCCTTTTATTAATGGAGAAATCAAGTCATAGTCAAATATTTTATTTCATTATTCAGTCTACTCCTAGATATAAAATGTCATTCTAGAAATCCTAAAACCATGCAGAAAAATCATAAAAGAGAAAGGCCACACAAAGAAATTTGTTCATTATGCAGTTAACACAAGGGACTGATTCTTGAGTTTTCCCTTGGGAGTTTCATGACTTTTAAATGTTTTTCTGAAATGAAAAGAAATGTATTTTCCTTTTCCAAATGTGAAGTTAACATGCATTCATATAGATAATTTAAGAAATACAGAAAGAGCACAGTGGCTCACGCCTGTAATGTCAGCACTTTGGGAGGCCGAGGCGGGTGGATCACCTGAGGTCGGGAGTTCGAGACTAGCCTGACCAACGTGGAGAAACCCTGTCTCTAAAAAATAAATAAATAAATACAGAAAGAGATATAGGAAAAAGGCTGTAGGCCGGGTGCGGTGGCGCACGCCTATAATCCCAGCACTTTGGGAGGCTGAGGCAGATGGATCACGAGGTCAGGAGATCAAGATTATCCTGGCCAACATGGTAAAACCCCGTCTCTACTAAAAATACAAAAATTTGCCAGGCATGGCGGTGCACGCCTGCAGTCTCCGCCTGGGTGACAAAGTGAGACTCCGTCTCAAAAAAAAAAAAAACGAAAAAAGGAAAAAAGAAAAAAGGCTACAAATCATGACAAGTAGCCACTGTTATAGACAGCTTGCTATGCACACACAATTTTGTGTCTGTGGACTCAGGCTGTATATTCTATTTTAGATCCTTACTTTTGAATTATCAATATATTGTTATTATACTGCTCATAAGTTGCCTGTGTTACATATTTACATTATTCACTAAGTATGGCCACATATTATTTTTTACATGGCGGCTAAGAGTTTCATAGTACTGACGCATCATCATTAACCTTTTGACCAACTGGTTATACAAAACAAACTGAAAAATGCACACTCGATCTAGTCTGACTTTGGGGTAAGCAGGAGAAGTGGAATTGCTGGATCATGAAGGATGCACACTTGAACTGTGATACACAAGGCCAGGCTGCCCTGCAGAAAGGTCGTATTGATTTCTACTACTACCAATGGTGCCTGGGAACTCTGTATTTTCCAGAGCCTTCTGAACAGTGGGTATGTCAGCCTCTCACATCTCTTCTCTTTCGCTGAGCAAGAAGTTCTAACTATCTCCTTAACTATTTCACTGTCTGCAAAGTTGGGCCTTTTTCCTAGACTTAATATCCATTTCATTTTCATTTTCAATAGCCTGCCTATTTCCTTTGCCTTTTATAGACATAGAAGGCTATACAGGCTGGGCGCGGTGGCTCACGTCCGCAATCCTTGCACTGTGGGAGGCCAGGGCAGGAGGATTGCTTGAGGCCAAGAGTTCAAGACCAACCTGGCCAACATAGCGAGACCCTGCCTCTAAAAGAAAAAAATTTTCTGAAGGCGATACATGTTTTTATTAGTATTTGTTTATAAGAACTTTATGATTTAAGAATCATGCATTCTATTTAAATTTTGTAGATTTGCTCCCTTCCCTC